ATTTATGTCTTACAACCAAACTTCAAATAATTTACGATAACTTACTTCAGAAGTTCGCGTCAAATCAGTAAACAAAGAAGTGAAGAAAGGCTCAGATACAACAATATCCTGTGTTATCACTGGTTTGAGAGAAACAGCAACAGTGACCTGGCGAACAAGTACAGGACCAGTTCCAGCTGAAAAATTCAACCCTGTCCAAGGAAGCCATTCTGGAGGAACACAAACATCAACTCTTGCTGTATACGGAACACTTGTGAATGAAGATACTGCCTACACTTGCAGAGTGACTTCTGGTTCTTTATCTTATTCGAGCCACTCGGATACCACCGTCAATCTTAACGTTTATGGTATGTTCTTTAAATGTTTACATCAATATTGCACTACAGTTTTGATAATTTCAGATTGAATTTATACTTACAGTCAAACTTCAAAATACTTAACGATAACTTACTTCAGACGTTGAATCAGTAAACAAAGAAGTGAAGAAAGGCTCAGATACAACAATATCCTGTGTTATCACTGGATTGACAGAAACAGCAACAGTGACCTGGAGAACTAGTACAGGACCAGTTCCAGCTGAAAAGTTCACCCCTGTCCAAGGAAGCCATTCTGGAGGGACACAAACATCAACTCTTGCTGTAGACGGGACTCTTGTGAATGAAGATACTGCGTACACTTGCAGAGTGACTTCTGGTTCTTTACCTGATTCCAGCCATTCGGATACCACCGTCAATCTTAACGTTTATGGTATGTTCTTTAAATGTTTACATCAATACTGCACTACAGTTTTGATAATTTCAGATTGAATTTATACTTACAGTCAAACTTCAAAATACTTAACGATAACTTGCTTCAGACGTTGAATCAGTAAACAAAGAAGTGAAGAAAGGCTCAGATACAACAATATCCTGTGTTATCACTGGATTGACAAAAACAGCAACAGTGACCTGGCGAACTACTACAGGACCAGTTACAGCTGAAAAGTTCACCTCTGTCCAAGGAAGCCATTCTGGAGGGACACAAACATCAACTCTTGCTGTAGACGGGACTCTTGTGAATGAAGATACTGCCTACACTTGCAGAGTGACTTCTGGTTCTTTACCTGATTCCAGCCATTCGGATACCATTGTCAATCTTAACGTTTATGGTATGTTCTTTAAATGTTTACATCAATATTGCACTACAGTTTTGATAATTTCAGATTGAATTTATACTTACAGTCAAACTTCAAAATACTTAACGATAACTTGCTTCAGACGTTGAATCAGTAAACAAAGAAGTGAAGAAAGGCTCAGATACAACAATATCCTGTGTTATCACTGGATTGACAAAAACAGCAACAGTGACCTGGCGAACTACTACAGGACCAGTTACAGCTGAAAAGTTCACCTCTGTCCAAGGAAGCCATTCTGGAGGGACACAAACATCAACTCTTGCTGTAGACGGGACTCTTGTGAATGAAGATACTGCGTACACTTGCAGAGTGACTTCTGGTTCTTTACCTGATTCCAGCCATTCGGATACCATTGTCAATCTTAACGTTTATGGTATGTTCTTTAAATGTTTACATCAATATTGCACTACAGTTTTGATAATTTCAGATTGAATTTATACTTACAGTCAAACTTCAAAATACTTAACGATAACTTGCTTCAGACGTTGAATCAGTAAACAAAGAAGTGAAGAAAGGCTCAGATACAACAATATCCTGTGTTCTCACTGGATTGACAAAAACAGCAAAAGTGACCTGGCGAACTACTACAGGACCAGTTACCGCTGAAAAGTTCACCTCTGTCCAAGGAAGCCATTCTGGAGGGACACAAACATCAACTCTTGCTGTAGACGGGACTCTTGTGAATGAAGATACTGCCTATACTTGCAGAGTGACTTCTGGTTCTTTACCTGATTCCAGCCATTCGGACACCACCGTCAATCTTAACGTTTATGGTATGTTCTTTAATTGTTTACATCAATATTGCACTACAGTTTTGATAATTTCAGATTGAATTTATACTTACAGTCAAACTTCAAAATACTTAACGATAACTTGCTTCAGACGTTAAATCAGTAAACAAAGAAGTGAAGAAAGGCTCAGATACAACAATATCCTGTGTTATCACTGGATTGACAAAAACAGCAAAAGTGACCTGGCGAACTACTACAGGACCAGTTACCGCTGAAAAGTTCACCTCTGTCCAAGGAAGCCATTCTGGAGGGACACAAACATCAACTCTTGCTGTAGACGGGACTCTTGTGAATGAAGATACTGCCTACACTTGCAGAGTGACTTCTGGTTCTTTACCTGATTCCAGCCATTCGGATACCACCGTCAATCTTAACGTTTATGGTATGTTCTTTAATTGTTTACATCAATATTGCACTACAGTTTTGATAATTTCAGATTGAATTTATACTTACAGTCAAACTTCAAAATACTTAACGATAACTTGCTTCAGACGTTGAATCAGTAAACAAAGAAGTGAAGAAAGGCTCAGATACAACAATATCCTGTGTTATCACTGGATTGACAAAAACAGCAACAGTGACCTGGCGAACTATTACAGGACCAGTTACAGCTGAAAAGTTTACCTCTGTCCAAGGAAGCCATTCTGGAGGGACACAAACATCAAATCTTGCTGTAGACGGGACTCTTGTGAATGAAGATACTGCGTACACTTGCAGAGTGACTTCTGGTTCTTTACCTAATTCCAGCCATTCGGATACCACCGTCAATCTTAACGTTTATGGTATGTTCTTTAAATGTTAGAATGTTTACATCAATATTGGACTACAGTTTTGATAATTTCAGATTGAATTTATACTTACAGTCAAACTTCAAAATACTTAACGATAACTTGCTTCAGACGTTGAATCAGTAAACAAAGAAGTGAAGAAGGGCTCAGATACAACAATATCCTGTGTTATCACTGGATTGACAAAAACAGCAACAGTGACCTGGCGAACTACTACAGGACCAGTTACAGCTGAAAAGTTCACCTCTGTCCAAGGAAGCCATTCTGGAGGGACACAAACATCAACTCTTGCTGTAGACGGGACTCTTGTGAATGAAGATACTGCCTACACTTGCAGAGTGACTTCTGGTTCTTTACCTGATTCCAGCCATTCGGATACCACCGTCAATCTTAACGTTTATGGTATGTTCTTTAAATGTTAGAATGTTTACATCAATATTGGACTACAGTTTTGATAATTTCAGATTGAATTTATACTTACAGTCAAACTTCAAAATACTTAACGATAACTTGCTTCAGACGTTGAATCAGTAAACAAAGAAGTGAAGAAAGGCTCAGATACAACAATATCCTGTGTTATCACTGGATTGACAAAAACAGCAACAGTGACCTGGCGAACTATTACAGGACCAGTTACAGCTGAAAAGTTTACCTCTGTCCAAGGAAGCCATTCTGGAGGGACACAAACATCAAATCTTGCTGTAGACGGGACTCTTGTGAATGAAGATACTGCGTACACTTGCAGAGTGACTTCTGGTTCTTTACCTAATTCCAGCCATTCGGATACCACCGTCAATCTAAACGTTTATGGTATGTTCTTTAAATGTTAGAATGTTTACATCCATATTGGACTACAGTTTTGATAATTTCAGTTTGAATTTATATCTTTCAACAAAACTTCAAAATGCTTTGCGATAACTTACTTCCGACGTTAAATCAGAAAACAAAGAAGTGAAACAGGCTGGTAGTAAGAATAAATAATTTTACCTTACAGGGCTTTATTTGGAAGAACATTCATTTTTCCGAAAAGTAGTCCACTACGAACTCTTACTTATTGTCCAGGATATTATTTCAACAAGCCAAGCACAACGCATCACAAATTGAATCGATCCAATTATTAAAAATATCTAAAAACGCGAAAATTATGGTTCATTCCGAAAATCACAATGCTGGCAAGCATTACCGTCGCCCTTATATTCACAATACTATTTACCCCCTATACTAGTATATCCCCTTTATTGTTTTCCAGGCATTAAGACTCATCGAAAGTAGTTCAGCAGGCATATTTAAGTTTAAAACATTCTAATTCAATGTTAAAGATGACAGGAATAAGAAATAGTTATGTGGAGGTTTTTAAGAAATTTGCGCAAAATACGCGCCAGCATGTTATACGAAATTAGGTAAAAAACCCAAAATCGCCATATTCAGGTGCCTTAAAAACCATGTTAAAATTAAGTTAGAGATATGAAACTTTGCAGGGCGTCTAGACCTTGTCCAAATCGACTGTAAAAAAAATTTCATGTTTCAGGAGTATCGGGAAGTGGGTTTTCTGGAACTCCTGTTTTACAACAGATTGTCGTGAAGATCACAGTGCTGGCAAGCACGACCGGTGCATTTATTGTGGGTATACTATGTACCCCCTTTACTATTATACCCCCTTTGGTACACGTTACAAGCCTCTTTCGTGCACGCGAAGCGTGCACTCCGGCCGGAGGCGGCGGCCGAAGGCCGCCGCCTCCGGCAGGAGTTTTTCAGGCATTAAGACTCATCGGAAGTCGTTCAGCAGATTTATTTTTAGTTCAAAACATTCTAATTTGATGTCAAAGATGACAGGAATAAAAAATAGTTATGTTGAGATTTTTAAGAAATTTGCATAAAATACTCGCCAGCACTGTTATACGAAATTCGGTAAAAAACCCAAAATCGCCATATTCAGGTGCCTTAAAAACCATGTTAAAATCGAGTTAGAGATCTGAAATTTTCTAGGGCGTCTAGACGTTGACCAAATCGACTGCAAAAAAAGTTTCAGGTTTCAGGAACATCAGGAAGTGGGTTTTCTAGAACCCCTGTTTTACGACAGATTGTCGTGATATATACATATATATATATATATCAGGGATAGACGCTTTGCCAGTCAATTGTAGCCTGTATTTAATTGTCCATAGATTCAAAAGTATAAAAGATACAGCCATTTCCGACCACAGGTCTTGAGAATAATTGTTCACACTTTAGTTTACATTGTATAAACAAATTATTTGACGTCATGAACACCCCTTGATGACGTCATCAAGTTAACCGTTTTTAAAACTTGATTTTTGACAAAGTAATAACTTTTAAAAATGATTTTACACCATTAAAAAGTAATTGTATTCAAAATCTGAGGAAATTTTCACCTTAGATAATTGTTCAAGCATTCTGATAATCTACCGGAAAGTTTTTTTAGCTTGCTCCTTCATAAAGATATTCGTCATTGAAGTTTGTGCTTTTTTGAAGAATTATTTTATAAAAACGTCAATTTTGCGATTTAGTATTCTCTGGTGTTGGGCCATGCCTTGGGTTGTGGAGCTCAGTTCTGCTTCCTATAGGTATAAATTGTGCATTAGGCTAGTTTTAAAGTAAAAAATCGAAAAGTTGCACACGTGGGGACACGCCCAAATTGATAGAAAATTGCTAAAATCACTGAAAATTGCTGTTTTCGTCATTTTCTGTCAACTTTAGAGTGCCGTTGTGATTACAGTTCTTCTTGAAATACTTTGAAACTTTGCATGCTTATCAAACTATATATAAAACAATTACATGCAAAAATTTACGGCGATTCAATATTGGATGCGCACGCAACGTCCGCTCAAAGTTTGCACGTGCGAAAGGTGAGAATTTTGCTCATTCGTGATTTCCAACAAATTCTGCTTTGCCACGACAGTTTAATGTCATTATAAATGAATTTAATGCCAACTTGAATGAGTATTAAGTGGCATATTCAGTCAGTGATCGACCGATATGTTTACCTAAACACAAGGAAATGTTTTTAAAGGAAAAATTTCGAAATCGTTGAAACTTCCTCCTTATTAATGAAGACATCAGTTTATATTTCGACTTTATAAAGTACCCTGACATTATAATCAAAAAGAGATGATATTTGACCAAAACCCATAATCATGGGTAGAGTGGACCGCTGCCAGTGTCTCTCTTTCCCAAACAAAAGGAAATGATATTAATTTGATTGACCGTTCTCAAATGCAAAATGATACCGAGAATGAAATCGGTCGCTCGCTTTTCCCATTCATTTACAATTGTAATAGATTAAGAAGAACTACCCAAAGGCAGCTGTACTCGGCAATAAAGATTCAATAAACTTCAGCTAATTCAATAAGTAATAACTACCACCCTTACCCCGAAATACTAGATATCGACCCGAACGCAACCTAAAGAGATTTTTACAGCATCTGATTGATGTACCTAATCAATCGAAACTTATTACAATTCGTAAGCCGTGAATGAATGGGAAAAGCGAGCGACCGATTTCATTCTCGGTATCATTTTGCATTTGAGAACGGTCAATCAAATTAATATCATTTCCTTTTGTTTGGGAAAGAGAGACACTGGCAGCGGTCCACTCTACCCATGATTATGGGTTTTGGTCAAATATATAATATATATATATGTATGTATAGACGCTTTTTGCAGTCAATTGTAGCCTACATTTAAGTGTCCGTAGATTCGAAAGTATAAACGATACAGTCATCTCGAACCACAGGTTTTGAAGATAATCGTTTAAGCTTTAGTTTACATTGTATTGAAAAATAATTTAACTTCATCATCATCACTTGATGACGTCATCAAGTTAAGTGTTTTTAAAACTTGACTTTTGACAAAGTAACAACTTTTCAAATCGATTTTACACTATTAAGAAGTAATTTTATTCAAAATCTGAGGGCATTTTTACCTTAGATAATTGTTCAAGCATTCCGAAAATCTACCGGAATAGTTTCCTACCTTGCTCCTTCATAAAGATATTTGCTATTGAAGTTAGTGCTTTTTTGAAGAATAATTTTATAAAAACACAAAAGTTGTGAATTAGTATTCTCTGGTGTTGGGCCATCCCTTGGGTTGTGGAGCTCAATTTTGCTTCTTAAAGGTGTAAATTGTGTTATAGGCTAGTTTTAAAGTTAAAAATCGAAAAGTTGCACACGTGGGGACACGCCCAAACTGATTTAAAATAGCTAAAATCACTAAAAATTTTGATTTTCACGATTTTTATCAACTTTGGAGTCCCGTTGTGATCCAAGTTCTTTTTGAAATCTTCTGAAACTTTGCATGCTTATCAAACTATATATTAAATACCACTATGCAAAAATTTACGGTGATTCAATATTGTATGCGCACGCAACGTCCGCTCAAAGTTTGCACGTGCGAAAGGTGAGAATTTTGCTCATTCGTGATTTCGAATATATTCTGCTTTCCACGATATTTAAATGGCATTATATATGAATTTAATGCAAACTTGAATGAATAAATGTGCCATATTCAGTCGGTTATCGACAGATATACCTAACTAAACACAAGGAAACGTTTTCAAAGGCAGAATTTCGAAATCGTCGAAATTACCTCCTTGTTAATGAAGTTTCGACTGTGTAAATTATCCTGACATTATAATCAAAAAGAGATGATATTTGACCAAAACCCATAATCATGGGTATAGTGTACCGCTGCCAGTGTCTCTCTTTTCCAAACAAAAGGAAATGATATTAATTTAAGGAACCGTCCGCTAATGCAAATTGATACCGAGAATGAAATCGGTCGCTCGATTTTTCCATTCGATCACGGCTTACGAATTGTAATAAAGCTTATTGATTCGAAAAAGCGAGCAAAATACGCGCCAGCATGTTATACGAAATTAGGTAAAAAACCCAAAATCGCCATATTCAGGTGCCTTAAAAACCATGTTAAAATTGAGTTAGAGATCTGAAACTTTGCAGGGCGTCTAGACCTTGTCCAAGTCGACAGTAAAAAAATTCATGTTTCAGGAGTATCGGGAAGTGGGTTTTCTGGAACCCCTGTTTTACAACAGATTGTCGTGAAGATATATATGTATAGACGCTTTTTGCAGTCAATTGTAGCCTACATTTAAGTGTCCGTAGATTCAATAGTATAAAAGATACAGTCATTTCGAACCACAAGTTTTAAAGATAATCGTTTATACTTTACTTTACTTTACATTGAAAAATAATTTATCATCATCATCATCACTTGATGACGTCATCAAGTTAAGTGTTTTTAAAACTTGACTTTTGACAAAGTAACAACTTTTCAAATCGATTTTACACCATTAAAGAGTAATTTTATTCAAAATCTGAGGACATTTTCATCTTAGATAATTGTTCAAGCATTCTAAAAATCTACCGGAAAAGTTTCCTACCTTACTCCTTCATAAAGATATTTGCTATTGAAGTTAGTGCTTTTTTGAAGAATAATTTTATAAAAACACAAAAGTTGTGAATTAGTATTCTCTGGTGTTGGGCTATCCCTTGGGTTGTGGAGCTCAATTTTGCTTCTTAAAGGTGTAAATTGTGTTATAGGCTAGTTTTAAAGTTAAAAATCGAAAAGTTGCACACGTGGGGACACGCCCAAATTGATTTAAAATAGCTAAAATCACTAAAAATTTTGATTTTCACGATTTTTATCAACTTTGGAGTCCCGTTGTGATCCAAGTTCTTTTTGAAATCTTCTGAAACTTTGCATGCTTATCAAACTATATATTAAATACCACTATGCAAAAATTTACGGTGATTCAATATTGTATGCGCACGCAACGTCCGCTCAAAGTTTGCACGTGCGAAAGGTGAGAATTTTGCTCATTCGTGATTTCGAATATATTCTGCTTTCCACGATATTTAAATGGCATTATATATGAATTTAATGCCAACTTGAATGAGTAAAAAGTGCCATATTCAGTCGGTTATCGACAGATATACCTAACTAAACACAAGGAAACGTTTTCAAAGGCAGAATTTCGGAATCGTCGAAATTACCTTCTTGTTAATGAAGTTTCGACTAGCTGTGTAAATTATCCTGACATTATAATCAAAAAGAGATGATATTTGACCAAAACCCATAATTATGGGTAGAGTGTACCGCTGCCAGTGTCTCTCTTTTCCAAACAAAAGGAAATGATATAAATTTGAGGAACAGTCCGCTAATGCAAATTGATACCGAGAATGAAATCGGTCGCTCGCTTTTTCCATTCGATCACGGCTCACGAATTGTAATAAAGCTTATTGATTTGAAAAAGCGAGCGACCGATTTCATTCTCGGTATCAATTTGCATTAGCGGACTGTTCCTCAAATTTATATCATTTCCTTTTGTTTGGAAAAGAGAGACACTGGCAGCGGTACACTCTACCCATGATTATGGGTTTTGGTCAAATTAACATCGATTTTATTTGATTTAGTGTATACCAAAAATAATTATTTCAATAGCATTAACAATATTTGAATAGGGCAATGGGCATTCAGCGACTGAGAAATAATCCCCAACGTATGACTATGTGTACTGAACTTTGACCTCACCCCTTATATATCAATATTATTACTGCTTAGCGACTGCTTTTCTTGCTTACTGTATTAAAAATCGATGGAAAAATTATTTGCTAAAATTGTTAAAAAACAACCCGAAACGACGATAAAATTTCGACAATTTTAATAGATCAATAGATAAAGGAGCACTACCCGGAGGCAGCTGTACTCGGCAATAGCGATTCGATAAACCTCAGCTAAATATCCATTGTTTTTCAAAAGTTTAAAGGTATCTAATGATGAAGTATACTAGTTTCTGTAATAGTTTCTTAATACTTTAATAAGTTATTAACATTTATCTCTCTCAGTGGTCAGTTCAGATCCCAAGTTGGTCACTACTGCTGTTGATCAGACGTTCACCTGTACTATCGGAGAATTAGACGCAGGTGGAACCCCTGTTAATGTGGTCTGGAAGGATCCTGATGGTTTTGCAGTTTCTGTCTCCGATACCACCAACTACGTTGTCAGCCAAGGAAGAGTTGATGGTACCGGCCTCCAATTGGCAGAACTCACCATCAAGGCTGTCAAACTAGCTGGTTTTGCTGCTGAACCATCCTTCACATACAAGTGCTCGGTAACTTCGTCTCAGTACACAGACTCTCCTGCATCTACCGACTTAAATGTTGTAGCCAAAGTTCTGGAACTAGGTAAGATCCAAAAATTTATATTAACCTGGTAAACGTGTTATGGGTTAACATTTTGAACAATACGCTTCCTCTTGTATAAACTAAGTTCATTGATTTGCAGGTGTCAATAAGGTCAACACGCCACAACTTTTCGGTACAGAAGCAACGATATCTTGTACTGTAACTGGTCTGACGAAGGAACTAGACTCGATTGAATGGACCACTTCTAGCGGTATTCCAGTAACAACTAAACACGGTGGCTATACCGTTACTGATGGTGGGTTTATCACCACAAACGGTTCTCAAACTATCACCTTAACTATTCCTGGGACGCTCAACATCTTAAACGAGACCTATATGTGCCTCTTCACCTCTAACGAACATAAAGTTACAAACCAGACTGCTGCTGTCAACTCTCAAATCTACAGTGAGTATAATGACATTGATTATTATGAGTGTAGCCTTTCTGCATATTAATCAGAGTGAAAAAATTAGGGATGGGAAGTTTCTATATTTTATATGAGTAAGGGTAGATATGTATAGCTTTTTCCATGTCCAGTTTGAAAAATCATAATTTTTTAATTGTTTCAAGCTCATCAAATTTCCATAGATTTATCTCTACGACCAAATGGAGGATGCCGTGTCTTTACCGGATCGAATCTTACTTTGACCTGTCGATATTTTTCTACTGTCTTCAGCGAAGGAGTCTTCTCTTGGACTATCGACGGGAAGAAATGTGAAACTCGTGCCTGCAAGTATGCAATTAAACGATGATAATGTAATCAAATTTAAAAAGGCAACATTGGAAAATGAAAACATTCTAATTAACTTTTGTAACTTTTTATTTTGATAATTTCAATGGGAAATATACAATATTTTTTAATCAATAATATTTCAGGAACCCAGTGAACACAGGTTTAACGTCAACGTTGACACTGAGCATTGATAACTCTACTGATGGCGTCTGGGGTTGTTCATTCTCCAAAAAAAGCGGTGGTTGGTTCATTTTATTGAGTATTTAAAATTTAAAAATATTTAAAAATGTTTAAAAATATTTAAAATAAGCATATACTTTATCATATTTCATCAAAAAATTTAGGTACATTAGTAAGTGGCAATTTAATTTGTTGATTATCATCAGATGGAATAATGCAGAGCTATGACAAGTTGACTGTTGAGGGGGTCAGTACGAGTGGCAGGCAGACTCCTAACTCTGTATGGGGGACCGCTGGGACTACGTCTACAGTTACTTGTACAGTCTTAAACGGTCTTACATATTCTAATCTCTCCTACATACAGTACGTTTTATTTATTTCAGATAATGAGGCTGAAAAAGTCTAACAAATACATTTTTATATACTCAGCAATGTCAAATCTTAAAATTCCAGAAATAAACCTAAATATCATATAATATATCATAATCATTGACCATACTGTTGAACAGTTAAAATAGCAAATAAACCGAGTCATCTTTGTATGAAACTTACTAACCTGATTCCTAATAAAGGTGGCAACTAGACAGTAAGATTATCAGTGAGGAAGGAGTGACACTCAACAAGAACCACGAAATAGTGAAGTTTCACTCTGGCGGACAAAGTCCGGACAGCAACGAATATTACGTCTATAATCTCCTTCACTCATTCCCAGGATGCTGTAGGGAACCTTCAGTGCATAGCTATGTACAGTACAGGTTCGCTTTGCTTTTCATTTAATTTCACATCTTTTAATGCATAATACATATAATTATGTCTCATACAAAGTTGACGAATAAGAGGTCGCAAGTACAAAGATCGATGTCCTAAATGTAGTGGTGGAATGTTACCATTTGCGGGGACCTTTGGTTCCTTACACCACAGCCTAAATGAGCACCCGGACGGTTCTGTTCAATTGGGGCATAGGTCTTCTATTTTTACGAAAAATTAGGGAATTTAATAATTTAACTCACCAATAACGATTTATATCTACAGGACATGAGATAAAGACACCTAGTAGCAACCTGAATTTAATAACGCTTACATCGAACTCTGAGTTGATTTTGATAACCCCAACTGATGGGGCTGCTGTAACTTTCTCTACTTGGGCACAGTCCAAACCTTCAACTACCAACGTCCGATCTAAATCTGTTAGTATTCTCTGTGATATATCCTTATCCATTTGTAACTCAAGGGAGAGTTTGCTAGGACTTGTAGAATGTAGATATATAAAAGATCATTTAAATTTATATGACCAATTCACCGAAGGCTGAGTTTATTGAAGTGGGTTTTTTTTTTCAATTCAGGAGGAGGGGCAAAATAAAAATATGTTATGTATTTTGATTTTTTAGGGTATTCAACAAGAGATTATTCAGTCAACAGCGGAAAATACAACTGTAAATGGTGATGGGATACTGTTCAAAGAATCGATCAAATTCTTTAGGTACCTGATGAATTCATTTTTGCATCCTTTTTGTAGTTAGCGTTATTCAACAAAAATTTCAAAGTATGCGGACACTTATAAAAGAACTAATAGAAAACTTTTTCAGTTCAGGTTCGACACCTGCTACAGTGGAAACGAGGGAGAACCTCTTTAAAAAGAAATATTGGTACAACTACACCATCAATTCGGGGCTGCCTTCAGAACTTGTGATTTCCGGAAAAATTTTCGTAATAGGTTTAGCTTATTTTTGATACAATGTTTCCTCAATTCTGATATTTCTGAAAAATTTAGAAAGTTGATTTTCGATACCTAATAATGTTGGAAGTATTTCAACCTACAGATTTTTATAAAGGTATAAGTGCATAAGAGCCAGTTTCATACAAATCAACTAAGCATAGATGGAATGATTTGGTTTGTGACCATTGTTAGCACAAAGCGTTTTGGTCCCCCATTCCTGCTACTCAGTATTGCCTACTTCGAAGTAAAATGTTTCTAAGATTATAGATTGAGTTAAACTGACCCTGTTTTTCTAAAATCAGCCACTTACCATAATTATACAAATACTGAAAGGTAAATAAATTTGACTATATAATCATCATAGAAATTTGTTTCCTCGAATCTTGTTCCTAACTTTTCGCTTTGAAATCATTGATGAGATATTTCAATAGCCGCATCCTTTTGTGTTCACTGACCCGATATTTAACCAGGACAGACATTTGTTGACACATCCACCAAATGGACAAAGGTCGGAGGGAGGACCACACTGAATGCTTATTTCACAGCCTCTGAGACATCCAGTGTTACCGTGACCTGGCAGCAAAAGGGTAAGATTTGAAATCATATTTTTAAAACTTAAAAATCATCAGTTCACTCTGTCGGCATAAACTTAACTTATCACATTTACAAATTATAGTTCATCGCCAAGTAAGCTTTTGTATGCAGGCGCGGAGGGAATATGGCAAGATCTCGGAACAGGCGGTTACCACAACATCCGCTCAAAGATAAATGATAGGGGTGTGCTGAACGCTAACCTCATCATCGATAAGATAAAGGAATCCGATATAACAAGTGAATTAGAAAATTTCTTTTTAGTTATAACAAAGATTAATGTTCAAAATTCTAAAATTGATTTCGCACTCAGTCAAGCGACTTTACCTGGTAATATTATTCAAATTGGATTTATCTAGGAATATCGTTTTGGATATTCTTTAATGACTCATAAATTATCGTTGAATCAGTGTTCCTGTATATTTCAAACAGTTGGAGTCTTACCAAAGACTCCAAACATAACGTTTCACAGACTCATTTTAGGACAATTTTGAACATCAGGTGATTGGAGCCATTAATTTAGGAGCCAGGAGAACTGCTCAACTAGCTTTGTCTTTTGCACTACAATCTGATAATTTATTTGTTGGGAGACTAGGAAGGCCTAAAAAATGAAAATAAGTATAAATAATTTTTGAGAGCTGAATAAAATTAAAAATTTAGCAAAGTGCAACAATTGTTGGGCCAATCATAATCTATTTGTATCGGGATAGATGATGCTTCTGTTTGATAATAATAATAATATTATAATTATAAATTATAATTTACATTAAATTTATTGTGAAACAGTCCAAAAATTCCAGTATACAAGGCTCGGATTGAGATGTCTGGTTTCGAAGTGACGACAGATTTGATAACATTGAAAGCTGTCTCAGCCAATGTGCCAGTGGTCAAAGATCCTGTCTTTGAGGGCAAATCTGCATTTTTTCATGTAGCGATAACAGTTGGTCCCAAACCATTAATTGTGAAGTTAGTTCATGAACGTAAGTAATAAGTAACTAAATATCTTAGAATTTAAAAACTTAAAATTCTACTATTACTACTCATATCACTCATATCACTAGCAAGTTTTTTTGCCAGTCAAGCTGATGTCCAGTCATTTTTTTGAAGAGTGGTGATATTTAAAGCCAAGATTTTGATAGATTAGAAGGTTTTTTACACGTTTCAATCCTCAGAGAGTGGTAAAGAAGTGCAAATAAACTTATCGAGTATGACTTCAAGTCCTTTTGAAGTGAACCATGTTTTGAAGGATGTATTTTCCTGTGATGATGGGTCCTACTACTTCAAGTAATATTATCAACCTATTTAATCTTTATAAACATAAAGTGCCTTCATTTAATTAACCTTTTGATAGGCCCTCATAAGATAATCTCATGCATAATTTATAAACTAATAAGTGCGATTCTTTAAATTAAATAACTGTTTTCTTAGAATTACGTTTGAGACTGGACTACATTACAAAACAAGCAAGGTAAAGCTTGCGGTGAAAAGAATGTGTAGACCCCTCACAACACCACCAAACACAGTACTTACAGAGGTGATTATAATAGTCCTGATTTTATAATTAATTTATAATTATGCCATATAACATGTTTTTCTGACCTTACTAAAATAAATAGACACTAGACAGTCGATATATTAATCTGGGAGTGAGAAACAAAGTTAAATTCGGATAACAGTTATTACTTATTTAATGACGCAATATTCTTTCTGTTGTTAAAATTATTGTCAGTAATTTTGGTTTAATCTCAGGAGAAATTGGCCGGCTCAAGCAACTACAAGTTAAAAGTTACCTGTGCCGATGATGATCCGACATATGTGATAATGAGGTTTGATCGGACTGAGGCAACGTGCGATACCAAAACGGGAAAATGGGATCGCACTGATCTTACTCCCTGTTGCAGAACCATCGCCCCGACGGATGACTAGATTGCCTCTAGATTCCTTGAACTAAAATTGATTGTCCATGTGTAATGTGTATTGTGTACCATTGATTGCAATTTGCAGTGATCATAAGATGTGAACAAAGGGGATTGCTATGACTGATAAATTATGACTGCTCGTTTAATTGTTACAGTTGTTGGTTCAGTTATCAATTTAATTTGATTGAGTTTTGATATCTGTTTTTTTGTTTATTTCCTGTAGGAATAGACAACAAAGGTTTCTTGTTTCTTGTGTTTAATATTTAGTAATGGACTATTTTAATCGTAAAGACAATTACGAGGTTTAGTATAAGAGAATAACGTTATCCTATGTAATAAATGTATTGTTTTTGTATATTGGAGCTTTAGCCACAGCTAGGTTGGTCTGCACGGAGCCCCACAGTTTCAATTCCTTGTTTAACTAGCCGTACACTGTACAGCATGGATATCCACTGTGTTTACCAGGTTAGGCACATAACCAACACTACCCTGCCAAAGTCAGCTATATACAATGGTTTTCTCAAAAGTATTTCCTTGTATTTGACTTTCGTCAAGAAAGTACTGTTACTTTCGGTTCAGATGTTATATAAACTAGCCTTTATGTGGCCCGTAGGGCGGAGGAACAGCCACACACTTCTCACCCAGCTACGTATACAATGCATTGTTTTTGTATATTAGAGCTTTAGCCACAGGTAGGTTGGTCTGCACGGAGCCTCCACTACACTGTGTTCACCAGGTTAGGCACATAACCAACACTACCCAGTACCCTGCCATGTTACATGTCGATCGAGTTATCATTCAACAATAACTTTTGAATGTTTCTTTGTTTATCATAGGACCCGCATCCAGGAACATGCCAAATTTGTTGAACAATGTTATCATTTTATTGAGTTATTATATTATTGAATTATTACATTATCATATTTAATATTGAGTTTAAATTCTCATGAAGCTTAAAATTGGAAGTAGATTTAAGTGGATTTTTTTGCATGCTGATTTGGAGGCCATTAAAGCATTTGACCCAGTCAAAAAAGTTTCAGTTGTATATCTTTTACGGTTTTTGCAGAAAGTCGCGTTAAAGTTGATGCCGTGGTGTCAGTAAAATGGTACGGATCCATATATATCGTCTTGCTTTATAGTAAGATTAATGAATTTGAAGCTCCCAATCAGATCTTCTTTTTGTCATCTTGGTCGTCCCTGTTTACAAACCAAAAGACATACATCTACCAAAAAATACATTTTTGTGTTTAACAATAGCAAATAGTTCTAAAATGCAACTTACAAGGCTGACGTCCATTTTTTATTCGACCAGTGCTGAGCAAACCTAGTGTGTATTCAACCATGGCTCATGTAAATAACTTTGCAAATGTTACCATGGCAAATAAACGCACACACTAGATACCGTAGATCACACAATAACACGTACATTACTACGTAAGGACTCATAGGATTCATTTGGGTATAGGACTCAGTGGCGGAAGTCACTGCAGCGGTGTACAGTCCGGCGGAGGACGGTACAGCGGAGGCCGGTACGGCGGTACTTTCCAAAAAGGTTGGACGGAACAGCGGATCACATGACACCCACTTTACTTTGGACAGTACGGCGGCACTAGAAACTGTACCTATAAGATAGACCTAGCACTGCTAATATAACAAAATCGATTAGCTTAATAAAGTTCTATTTTCCTCTTTGTTACTTCGAAATTAATTTGGATAAAGTTTAACATATACATTGTGATTGCTAAGAACAGTTCTTGTTCCACTTTCTGGTTCGTATCAGATCGCGTCCGCTCTGCACAACGGTGGTTAAGCGAGTGCATGATGAGCTTGTTACGGTCATGAGATCTCATATCACTGCGCCGAGATGCAATGGGTAATAACAAGGGCATGAGAACACGTCACGAGGGATCGCATCCAGGAATCTGATCAACCATAGAAGAAGAGAGCTTGCTCAGTGAAGCGTAGATAATGATAGAGACGAACAGTATATAAAGCGGATCAAAGTTGAGGAGAGTATCTCATTAGCACTACCATCTCCAGTACTCCAACACTACAATTTGAGTACAACAGCTACAACGATGTTCGATGAAGATACGGTGAAGGTGGTCAGAGGGAGAACTGCTAACAGTCAGAACCTTCTACACCGTGGTTCCGCTACTCCAAAGATGGAAAGCCCACCATCTACAACTTCATCACAGCACTTCAGATGGAGCAGAGTTCAACAGATGGGAAGCACGCAGCTTACCTGGTCGGAGAGAACCCACCGAAGAGGAAGAAAGCTCACAGCGACAAGGACAGGAGGATTCACCGCATCGTGCAGAACTACCACTCTTACGAAGATGATGTCTTGACTTATTATTATGGAAGGGAGCACTGCGGAGTATAAGTCATCGGAAGATGAGGGAAAGATGGAGAACTTTACCCAACACTCACTTTAAACGAGTATTGAGACAAAAGTTCGCCAGATCAATCCCGAAACTTGGCAAAGAGAGCACAAGAACAGCAACACAATTCCTCACGGGACATTGTGAATTAAACTATCACATCAATAAGTACAAGCCGACAACTGTCCCTAAAACCTGTCCACACTGTCTCATGGAAGAGGAGACAATGAACCACTTTATTGGTCAGTGCCCGAAATGGTCTTACCAGCGAGGAGGATACTTTGACTCCTTCTACCTCAGTGTGACAGATATAGTGGACAAGTTCTCATTACCAAGGATCATCGGCTTCATACAAGCAACAAAACGTTTTACCAAATGTGGAGAGGACAAGGCTTAACCTTGCTTTCTTCACAGATTAACTTTACCGGGGTAAGCACAGGGCTTCAATGCTCTATCTTATAGTGGTTTTGATCTATTCCTTAGTAGTAAAGACCACCGCCCCCTACGAAGAAGAAGATGTCTTGACTTACCTGGATCTGCTCAGAAGTGTTGATGACTGAATAAGCTGTTTTAATATGCTAAATCAAGGAATAAAAAGCTTGCCAATCTGAACATGGGGTATCACAAGAGGCAGGAGCGAGCAGGAACTACATATCGGAGGATCACATCTTCACAAATAATCACAACAACAATCACCACAGCAATAACGGTTCCCAGATGGATCTACAGGGGTCCACTCTTCTTCTGTCATCCCAGACGTCGTCTCTCTCTCTCTGTTTTGGTCAACGGTTTCTGGCCTCCTAGTGAAGAGGGAGGCCTTCTCGCCGTGCCCACAGAGTGTGACTCCTGCTAGCCACACTCCAGGACTCCTTATATACAAAAACATAGAATAATAGATATCAACGCAACAGACCTCTGGAGTCTCGAAGCTGTTACTACCTTGCTCAGAGCAAACCCACTTCAGATGTTCTTCTTTGGCGGGCAGGCGAGGGACTTCCGAGCATGGTCCACACCTGAATATGTGTCACTATCTGAGATAGTCCTGTGTGGGTCTAGTGTATGATTGTTTATGAACCTTGGTGTATGTCCTAGATGCTTATCCAAATAGATCGTCTCTGTCAAACCTTGTTGACTGTTCCACGAATTTGATAATGTGGTCGAGTTTACTATTGATGAGTTCCTCAATTGTTAGGATGGGTTTACCAAATATCCTCATTCTAGTTGTCATCAGCTGGATGCATTCACATAGGAAGTGTTGTGATGTTTCTGCTTCCCCTGGGCAGTGTTCACAGTCTTGTGTTTCGAAATTGGAGTTGTTTGCTACCGTCTGGAAGTATGCTAGTGGGCTGTGTCCTGATAGTAGCCATGTTAGCCATCTGATGTGAGCACCTGTGATGTTAATTTTCTTGTACCTGTATTGTTGAGGAAAAATGTTAGTGGGGTTTTTCCTTTATCACTGAGTGCCACCTGTTTATACTTCTAGATATGGAGATTGAAGAGGTAATCTTTTATTTGGGTGTTGATTATAGTTCTTTACCGTATACTCCTTCATGTCCTGGAACAAAGTTCTACTCGATGAGAAAACCTAGCGAGTTGAGTTGGTCTGAGATGTTCAGAACGAACCTGGAGTTAAAATTGGTGCTGTTAAGGGCTTAAGGGCTTTAAATGCAGCCTGGGAATCTGAGAGGAATTTATGTTTGATTGAGATCCTAAGTTATCATTAGTCCAGATACTTGCCATGTATAACGCAAATAGCGGGTACGATTTCCTCAATGAACCTGAAGAAGGAATATCTGTCCTGAATTGATACCATGTAACGTCGAGCTTAAAAATGAATCAAAAGTTCGAGTAAATCGTTAAACGTTGTATGTCCTATTTGCATCCCCTAAGCATTGCATTGATGTTTATTCCTGGTCCGGTAAGCTTTGCGTCTCAGAAATAAAGAGGTCCACTATGCTTTAATGAGCTAAGCTGTCCACCAGGGTACTGTAGATCTAAGGGTTCCCCGTGTAATGGGGCAGGCTGTGATAAAGCATCTCTGCAGGATGTCCGAGATGAACTGATTCGAGTGTTGAGAACTTCCGCTGTAGAAACTGAATAGAACCAGAAAGGATGTCAGTCAAACTCTGCTGCTACTAGATGATTGTAGAGCGTCCAGTCACACTTCAATAAAGAGTGTGGCAAAGCTAACCTGGTCCCCTGAAAAGTGGTTACTGGAGGAAGAAGTTCCAGGAATTCTCGTTATCAGTGTGTCCTCGTAGTCAGAGTTGAAATCCCTAATTCTGTCTTATCACGAGCCTGTGTCTAGCGTGTGTCAGCCCTTACGCATTAGCTGTCTTAACTGAAAAGACCTGAAAAGTGGTTACTGGAGGGAGAAGTGCCAATACTACTCATCATCAGTGTGTCCTTGTAGTCAGGATGAGCGAATTGGAATCCCTAGCTCTGTGGTGGGTGACTTCGATGGGACCTGAAAGCTGAAAGAGAATTTCCTGGTGATTTAATAGCTCTTAGAGCTAGGTATCTGTGTCTAACGTATCGTCATTTGTGTGTGTACTATCTTGTAACCTGATATCTGAAAGAGAAATTTCCTGGTGCTTGGTAGCTGTTATTGTTGACTTCCTGGTTCTCATGGGAACTTTGAGTTGGCAAGTCCCAACCTTAGTACTCAACAAGAGAGCACACCACCCGTTAGTGCCAACCAGGCCACACCACGTGGAGGTTCGGAGAGGATTTCGTGACCCCCCCCCCCAGACGTCGTATTAACGGGAACAATCTTTCTTGCAATCGCCTATCAGCAATTTAACAGTGCAGTAGCATGTGTCTTGAGAGCATCCTACAAATGTGTTGTTGCATGTCACTTGGAGTTGTAACAGTCATGTGAATGAGGATCACACAAGAAGCAGTGATCACCAACAGTTGGGTAGTATACAGAGATTTTATTACATTAAACACCTGATCCTCTTAAATCATCACCATAAGGAGATCATCACAAGAGGAGGGTTACATGAACCTCCTCATTGTTCACTTAAGCTCTCATGCTGGATCAACACCAAAAAGTTACTGTCTATGGTTCTATACAATAAGAGACAGTATCTAACTGGCAGTGGGGTAGGGCTGTTAAACAGGTTAGTAACTTTGTCTGTATCATCATTAGTGGATAGGTTTGTTTACTAGAGTCGAAACCTTACTATGAAAAGAGATTGACCCCAAAATAGGTGGATGGCCTGCGGATGGTACTAGTACTACTGCAGCTCTTGTGCTGGATTGAAGATCAACGCAAAAACACCGCCAGTTTATTTAAAATTGTGTACAACCTTGTGTACAATATCGATCATACTTTTAAATCCAGAAATATAATTATAATTCCAACAACATGCAGTAACATGTGTACTGTAATATTCAACACTGTGTTAATTTAATCCAAAATATTCAATAACTATATTATGTTCATTATTCAACTTAACAATAGTTAACAACGGTTAAAGTTCAAGAATCTTTTTGACAATATTTTTATTCTCGTTCATTATCTTGTTGACATCAG